CAAACAGACTGTCATAGAAAACAACTTCCATTGCCCTCTTTCCAGAAGCAAAAACGGCCTTCTGGGCTCTGGAACACTTCCTTCTCTCTTGCCGCATCCTACAAAGGCTATTCAAGTCCCCACCTGGGTGACAAGCTGTGGCTTAACCTCACAGGCTAGGAAAAAACCTCTACTGAGAGAAAGGATTGCAGAAGTGAGCTCTCAACATCTGGGGACTCTCCTCAAAGACTCCTGATGCATATACTGTATATGACAGTATAATATTTCATACGTACTAGGAAGAATGAAAAATGATATATTAACACTGTGTATATATCATTTTTCATTCTTCCTAGTACGTATGAAATATTATAAAATGTTAAAATCAAATAAAAAAATTATTAAGGATTAGTTAAGTGAAGAAGATAAGAAATATAATGCAAATGGAAATAACAGCATGGGCAAAGGCACAGAGAAATACCGTTTATACTTATTGGGCTGTAATTAATAGCTCATGAGTTGGTCTCTCTTCTACTAGGCCATGCTCCTTGGGGAAAAGGGCAATGTCATTTATCTTTATCTCTTGCTCCTTGCACAGTTAATGGCAGGTGCTAAAAGTATTGTTAATTCCCTTAATTCAAAATTCCTAACACAAGTTCTTAAGCGTCAGGAGACATTCAATGAATAATTTGTTACTTTTTGGATTAATTTGCTGGTTAAGACCAGATCTCATGCATTTCTCAAGGTTTTAGTTGTTTTCTCATTTTCCCTTTTCCTATTTGGCTCTTCTCTATTTCCTATCCCCAACACACACACACTTATTTTGAGAAGTTAGAGATGCAACAAAGCATAAGGAAATATATGAGTTTAGGCAAAGAGGAGTACATATAACATAATAAATTTGCTAAATTTACCCTTTTGGGGAGCTAAAAAATGTAACATTTTCCATAATATATTGCCAAAGTTGGTCTGTTTTTAATATTTTGTTTAATATAGTTGTTTTTGGAGCTGAGGACACAGGTTCTTTCCTATTGGTCTTAAAAATAATTTCTAACAGAAGGGGAGTTTTGGCAAGCTAACGATGTCTGGCCTTTATATGCTTGCTTATGTTCCAAAGGTGAAGAAAATGTAGGTCATTTGGCACTGCAGTTCTGCTCTCCAGCTGTCATTGAGTGATCAGGGAATGCAAGCAACCAGAGTTTCAGCACGTCATCTCACCAGGAATCACCAAGCATCAAAGTCTTTGCCATTACCCACCTTATAAATCATAAGTAGTCTACAGTATACGTATGGGCTAACCTTACTTGCTAATTTTTACAACTTGTGGTTGCCAACAGGTATTTTACCTATTTCTCTTATCTGACACCTCACAGAGAGATGATGTCAGAGACTAGTTAGAATCCCTTCTCCCTCCCTCAACTGGCATAAAAAGGCCAACATTCATTTGTTGGTAATGACTGATGGTTTATGTCATTATTCTTTACTTGCAAACTCACTAATAAATGAGGGCACTGAGGCTATTTCCTTAATTTATTTAATAAAGATTCTAAAACATAAGAAGCTTTGCCTCACTGATATTGAAGTCACAGATCTGTAGCTAGAGTGGCTTTTCTCTGGACACAGCATAGCTCTCACAAGTAGCTATAGAAATGACAGCTCTCAAAGCCAAGTTCTGGGATCTCAGGTAGCCTAGAAAATGTTTACCATACAAGGAAAAGATGTTTTATATAACAAGCCTTAGTTTAGAAGCCTGAGACGATTTCATTTATAAACAGAATGTCTTTTGTCTACTGTTGTGATTTTTTATACCACTTTAGATTTCTTTAAATTTTCCCTCTTTGTGTATTTTTTTACACCCCTTGGGCTTCATGTTATCTCACCTCACTAGCATCTGTGGCTTGGCACTTGTTTTGACTACGTAATCACATGTCTTTCCCTACATAGCGTAGCCTCTGAAACCTTATCTGCTAGGACCAGCCTTCCCTGCCCTGAGGAGGGCCTCCTAGTTATTTGCTGTACCTATTTTCCTTCAGAAAAAAAAAGAAAAAAAAGAAAAGAGAAAATCAACAAGGTTAATTTTGTTCCACACCTAAAAAAATATATATATTTTTAAAGTTAAAATGTATTGAGCTCTTTCTATGTGTCAACTTATTTAATAGTATAACTTCGTAAGTCATATCATTCCTATGCTCATTATACAACAGAAGAAATGAGGCAAGGATGTTAAGCAAGTTGCCCACGATCACATGATTTGTACAGAAAAGACCCAGAGGCAGACAGGCTCCAAAGCCCACAGTCTTGCCCATTATTGTACTTCTGTGAAAATGAATCACATTTTCCCTGTTGGATAATTATTAGTCCCCAGTAGTACCCTTGCATTAGAGACTCAGCCTGTTAGGAAACTTGGATCCTTGTTCTGTGTTTTAACTTGGGAGGAAGGAGCATTCTAGGTAGGGAAAATGCATGTTCAAAGGTCTAATGGCCAAAGGGAGGATGAAGAAAGCCAATATTAGGAAAAAAGGGAAACGACTAGAGTGTTTTAAGCCTTGGGAAGTGGGGGGTTAGCTGTAACCCGATCACAAATATATTCTTTCTTTCTTTTTTTTTTCTTTAAAAAATATATTTTATTGATTTTTCACAGAGGGGAAGAGAGAGGGATAGAGAGTTAGAAACATTGATGATAGAGAATCATCGACTAGCTGCCTCTTGCACACCCCTTTTGGGGATGTGCCGGCAACCAAGGAACATGCCCTTGACCGGAATCGAACCCGGAACCTTTCAGTCTGCAGGCCGACGCTCTATCCACTGAGCCAAACCGGTGCCGGCTACATTCTTTCTTTCAAAAAGTAAATTACATTACATTTAGATTACTTTCTTTTTTTAATAAATTTATCTTAGAGGAAGGGAGGGAGGAAAACATTGATGTGGAAGAGAAACATCAATTGGTTGCCTCCCATATGCCCCCCAAACCAGCAACCTGGGTATGTGCCCTGACTGGGAATCGATCCCATCACCTTTTGGTGTATAGGACAACACTCCAATGAACTGAGCCACACAAGCCAGGATGACCACAAAGATATTCTAACAATACCACCCTGGCTGCTTAAAAGAGAGCAAAAGTAGATTTAGGAAGATTTGTTAGGAGTCTATTGAGAAAATCCAGGCAAGAGGTGATGGTAGCTTGGGCTAGGGTATTGGTAGTGTGTGTGTGTGTGTGTGTATGTGTGTGTGTGTGTGTGTGTGATGGGGGGATGGGAAAATATTTTTTAAAACATGTACCATGAATTAAAACTGATATTGATTAGATTATGTAAAAAGTCTTTAACAAAACATTCCAGAAGTTACATTTCCAATAAGTATTACTGCCTTCAAAGTGTCATAGTGGGAGGTTTATACACCAATTTCAGTGATGCTTCATGGATCTAAACAATTTTGGAAAGCCTCTTCTAGAATTTCCTTCAGAACCAGTTTGAGCTAAACTAGAAAAATAGGCTTACTGTGTGTGTGTGTGTGTGTGTGTCAGTATATATATATATATATATATATATATATATATATATATATATATATCATACTTCATAAATCCCAGAAGCAGAGAGAACTACGTGTAGTGCTGTTAAATTGTTGCAGGGTTTATAAGAACTTCCTTTTATGACTTTGACCTGCCAATGTATACAGTGAGGTCAAAAAAGAAAATACCTCATAAAAAAACGAGAATATATTCTTTTGGATAAGAGTGAGCTAACTCAGGAGACTCAAGGCAGAAGAAATTCTTGGATAGCCAATATTTTTATTTTTTTAGGGAACAGATAATACATATATTTCAGAAGATTGACAACAAATTTCCCCGGGGGTGGGGGGTGGAGGGGAAAAAAATGGTGTTATATCCATCAGTTTTTAGGAACAGTGGGAAGCATGGTGGACACAGTTCAAATTTCAGACCCAAGCTGTGCCTACCTGTGCAGGCTTGGACCAATTTTCTCTCTGAGCCTTACTTACACATACACCAGGCTTTACTAATGGAGCTGATTTCCAACCCGTCCCCCAATTTTCTCCACCTAACCACTTTTCTTCAGGTTCAAGAACAGGAAACCCTGAGAAAAGCAAGACAACCCTCCAGGTGTTTTCAGGCTTTAACTGGGCTTACCTTTCCTAGCTCTGCAATACCAGGGCCCAGAGAAAGGAATTCCTCGTGCTTTATCATCTTCAGCAAAGAAAGGCTAGGGATCCCCAGGAGTAGTGCCTGTGGTCCAACAGAAAGTCCCAGAGCACCTTGTCACTCAAGGAAACAAGTAGCCCATTTAAATACCAGAGTCTTTTCTAGAAAATGAAACAAACACAATGCTCAAGAATAGGAGATTGGTTGAACTGTGGGATATCATATCCAAAGGCACACGCACACAATGGAATTATATATACTGAAGAATATTAAATGGCGTGTGGAGATGTTCATGATAAATTAAAAAATATTGCTGTAAAACAATATAAAACAATATATATATATATATGCGTGTGTGTGTGTGTATATATATATATATATATATATATATATATATATATATGGATTCATCTTTTACTTTTATTTTTTAAAATATATTTTATTGATTTTAGAGAGGAAGGGAGAGGGAGGGAGAGATAGAAATGTCAATGATGTCCTACACTGGGGATTGAGCCTGCAACCCAGACATGTGCCCTGACCAAGAATTGAACCATAACCTCCTGATTCATAGGTTGATGCTCAACTACTGAACCATGCTGGCTGGGCTGAATTCCAGTCTTTTAAAAATAATGTAATTACAGGGACAAAACAGAAAAAAATAAAAATTGTTAATAAGTTTTGAGTGGTAAGATTATGGGTATTTTAAATTCTTTCCTAAACCTAATACAATAAATGTAATAGTTGTTAATAAAAAGTTCTAATAAATAGGATATAGCATTTGAAAACTCCACAAGACAGAAATTGTGACTATTTTGTCTACCATCACAGAAAAAAAAGGCATTTAAAGAAATTAGTGTTTTTCCTAAGCAGAATTTGTAAAAGGGGAAAGTGTCTCTTTTGATTTTCTGCAAGTTTCCGCCTTTTTCAGCCTTGTCCCACACGCCAGTTATTTTTTTCTCCAGAATTAAGAATGGAAAAAAGAAAATCAACCTGGCTCCTTTTCTGCCCCTGGATGCTCACTGTTGAGATTTAGAGCAGGGAAATTTCCCATAATGCAGACTTCTTAATACCGGAGGCTCTTGGATCTGCCACTGGTGTATACCCTCCCGGCCAGTCACTTCCTGACAGACGCCTCTGTGGGTAGTGGTGAGGTAACTGGGAAATTCCTGTCTTATAACCTCTCCAGATATCCTGCAAATGGGAGGAAAGCCCAAGGCCCAGAGTTTCTTGAGTTTTTAAAATAAGAGTACTTGTAGTTAAAACACTCTACATTTATCATTACTGTAATCGTTAAGAATCAATACCATTTACTGAATGCTTTCCAAAAGCCAGATATCTCATTTAATTTTCACACTGGTCACTTAGGTATTATCCCTATTTCACAGAGAAAGACCGGCTGAGATCAAGCAATGTACCTTCAGAGATTGCAAAATTATTTCAAAATTGCCTCCATTATTCTCCTCTGTCAGATGAGGATTCTCGTTTTAACATGTAAAAACAAAGGACACGTGGTTTTCAAATCCCTGGTGGGGGTCTCTATGGCAGATCTAGTTTTTTGGTTTCAATAGAGCACTAAGTTAAGTATACAATTTTACCTGTATGTTCCCAAAAATTCTAGTTTAGCACTTCTTAGTTGGGATTCAGGAATCTGTATTTTAACAACTCCACCAGGTGATTCTCATCATGAGAGAAGTTTGGGAAACACTGCACTAGATTATGAGCAGCAGATTTTAATCTGACACTGAAGATAGGGTGTGGTAGGAGACTAGATACCCCTGCAAACAACCAGGTCAAGATGTGTCTTTACAACTCTTAAGACAAGGAGACAGTCCTGTACATGGGATATAGGGCCAATGAATTCTGGAGTTTACTGAGGGAGGGAGGGAGGGAGGAAGGGAGAAAAGGAGCCCACAGCTCTGCAGGGTGGGGATGGGGGGTAAGGGAGAGAACGAGGCAGAATAGCTTAGGTGAGTGGATGGTGTTCTGATGCTTGGTGGACCAGCTCAATCATACCTACAAAGGAATCCTGTGTAAATTTTGGCCAGGTATGAATGTATTTTATTGAATAAGACAAATTTGCTATCTAATTCTTAAAGTACAATACTTGTTAATATTGATCTTCTGATATACACACATAATAGAAAGACAAAAAGACATCATGGCTATAATAAATTATGGTGTTTTCATTTCTTGTTTGAATGAAACTGAAACTTTTTCAAGAGTTGTTTTAAGTAAAATAGGGACTTGTGACACTGAGCTATTTTCATAGTATCTACACTGCTTGCTATATCAAAATCAAATTCCTCAGGATTGATCTTTTTTTTATTAAAAAAATAGGTATTTCTTTATTGATTTTAGAGAGGAAGGGAGGAGGAGAGAGAGATAGAAACATCACTGATGAGAGAGAATCACCGACCAGCTGCCTCTTGCACACCCCCCACTGGGGATTGAACCCGCAGCCTAGGCATGTGCCCTTGGCGGGAATCGAACCCGGGACCCTCCCACCTCCCCCCGGGACCCTCCCACCCCCCCCCCCAGTCCACAGGCTGACGCTCAATCCACTGAGCCAAGCCGGCCAGGGCAGCATTGGTCTAAATGAAAATAAATTTTTAAATCTATAATTTTTTTTTAAAACTTTTAAAAATATATTTTATTGATTTTTTTATAGAGAGGAAGAGAGAGGGATAAAGAGTTAGAAACATCGATGAAAGAGAATCATCGACCAGCTGCCTCTTGCACACCCTCTACTGGGGATGTGCCCACAACCAAGGTACATGCCCTTGACCGGAATTGAACCCAGGACCTTTCAGTCCACAGGCCGACGCTCTATCCACTGAGCCAAACCGGTCTCGGCAAAATCTATAATCTTGATTTTTAAAAATTTACTGTCTTATTTATTTATTTATTTATTTATTTATTTATTTATTATTTTGGGGGGGGAGCTGCAGAAAAGGAAACATTTTCCTAGAATTATGAGTTAGCAATCTTGCAAGGGTCCTTGTCCAAGTTCTGCCCCAACCAGTTAAATCATCCTGAACAAATCTCTTAAACTTCAGAGTCCTCACCTGTACAACGAGATTCTAAAAGGCAGGCGATGTTTGACATTGTTGATGTTCTGTGTGACAAGCTAGCATTCCATGGGTATCCATAACAACAGTGAAACTAAATCTAATGCGCAGATGCCCTGAAGTGCAGAGGTAAGTATCCCTACATGTCAAATGCTTCAAGACACTTGTGAGTGAATGGCCGCCTAACTCAGAATGCCCACCACCAGAATATGGATGTTCCCTTCACTTAGACCCCATCCATCCTGGAGAAAAGGAAGAGCAAGTGAGGTAAAACTACACGATTTGTAAGTTGTATTCCTGGGAGTCAGGACTGGAAGGTGCCTCCTCCACTTGCAAGTTAAGCTCTGCTCTCTGAGATCCGGGTTGGAATTGTCATGCTCTAACAAGGGAATGTGAGATCTGGAACTAACTAGGTCTCAATGAATTCAACACATAGCTTGTCTTGGAGTTAAAAAAGAAAATGCGGAAAGATTATTTTTTCGAATTTTTATTTAATTATTCTGAGGACCTACGTGGTAGTCAGCAAGCTCCTGGACTTGTGAGGAGGGTGCATTCGTAGGAAATCCTGCAAAGAGGACACTCACCACCAGGCAGGGCAGCGTCTAGAAATCGAGAAGGGGGTTTCCCCTGCGGCCAGGCACCCACACTGTTCCTTATCTTCCTCGCCTACTCAGAAGTTCTGACATTTATGCTTCAAAGCCTGGTGTGGTAGTTCCAGCCTCTTAAAAGCTTCGGGTATTTTTTATAGGTTTCTCTTGCTCAGTAATTGTGGCCTCCAAATGTATAATTCTCCTGGTCCCATTTCATCTGTTGCAGGAGCGTCCGTGCCTTCTATGGATCGCTGTTCTCTCCCAAACAAAACAGGGTCAGGGAACAGGGGAATCCCTATAGAAGCACTAAGAGAAAGCGCGGATCGGCTGCTGCCCATACATCCAGCCCTTTTAAAGGCTTTTGTGTTCATCACGATTTAAGACTCAAAACCATGAGGAAAGCAGGAGCTAACAACCTGAATACCCACTTTCATTCCGGGTAGAAGTCTCCCACCTTAAAAAAAAAAAAAAAAAAAAAAAAAAAAAAAAAAAAAAAGGCATTCCCTCACCACCTCCAAGATTCCGCTGACACTTCCATACAAGGGCAGGTACTTGCTTTCTCTACGTGGAGAACCTCTTTCTAGCTGCACCTCCGAGGGTTAAGCCCGCCCCAGGCCTTTGGCTTTTCTATCGCGGGGTCAGGCTTCCCTTCTCTATTTCTCCACACCCAAGCCCGCCCACCGGCGTCGAACTCAGCTCTCTATTGGCTCAGAGGCGTGCTCGTCTCCTCAGGGAGCCAATCCGAACCTCGCTGTCTACCCGAGGGATTTGGGAAACGGAAAGAGACCTCGGCGTGTTCCTGGAGAGTAAGGCGGGGCCGTACATGAGTGACGTTTCCACCGCCCAATGGGCAGGGCGCTAGGACCTGCCCCCTCAGCCTCCTGGGCTAGAAAAGAGCGTTGATGCCGGCCGCCGGGATGAGTCCTAGGCGGCGCTGCCTGCCCGGGGGCTCTGAGGAGCGGGTGCTGCTGGTGGCCTCTTTGCAGGTGAGTGGGTTTTGCCTTAGAATGTTGCTGTGGAGGACGTCCCCATTTTTTAAACGTTTTGTCTTGGGAGTGCGGGAGGCCAGTTCCTTTGACTCTCCCGCTTGGTTCTGCCTTTGAATCTGGCGCTCGCGGGTCTGCGCCCCGCGGGCCAACCCTCACGCCGCCCCGGGTCCCCTCTCCGCCGTCCCTTCCTCTGAATGAGCCTGCCCGGAGGCAGCGGTCTGTCAGCCGGCGGGGGGGACTCGCCTCGGCAGGAATGAGCCGGGATGGAAGGGAGGGAGGATCGATCGCCTACCTCTCCGGGGCGCCGGGCAGAGCCCCTTCCATGGGAGGGCTCCAGGGAGGAGGCTCGGTGCCCTCAGGGCCATGCCACTCTATTTAGGGCCAAGGCAGGTAGACCTGCCCCTGGAAGTGGAAGAAGACAGAAAGCAACCTGAATGCCGTGAAATGAAGGAGGAGGAGGTGAACGTCTGGAATTGGTTTCACGGGGCGCTCCAATCTGCAGCCAAATCACAGGTTCTTAGAGCCACTCAAAAAAATAAAAAATAAAAATAAAAAGTGTATTCCCCCTCCTTTCAAAGGCGAGGGGGGCTGCATGTCTAGAGAAGAGCAATAGAAATGCATGACGGAAGGGAAGTTCACGGTTAAGTTCTGAAGGGTCATTAGTTGTTAGAGAACTTCACTCCCATTCACCAACCATCTATCTCTCTTCCAAACCGTGGAGCATGTGCGTGGGACCAGAAAGTTGACTGACTGAATGCAGGATTGGGGTGGGGGGTGGGGGGGGGGAAGGAATCAAATAGTATCTTTCAGCAGAAGCTACTAAGATTTTCCATAGTGAAAGCAGAACGCGTGTCAATTTGCCTTTTATTTTAAAACTGACTCCCCTGAGTCCAGGGACCAGGTTTTATCCATCTCTGTTTCCTTCAGTCCGTGTGGACTTCAGAGAAGAAGCATCATTCAAAACAAATGGTGCGGGGGAAGGAGCTCAGAGTTGCAAGTCGAGACACCTGGGTTTTAGTCTTGAAGCTGTTGCTATTTGTGTGTTGGCAAACAAATCCTTTCGACTCTCTGACTCTGAATTTTTGCATCTTTTAAAGAGCAGATGTTGCCTTGGACTATTTCTGAGGTCCACGCTTGTGCTAAAGGTCTGTTTTAAAGTGAAAATGATTAGACGTTTTTCCACCACAAGTCTATAAACAAAATCTCATTGCAGTCAGTTCCGTACCAATCTGTTAGCAAAATGAAGTTTCCAGCTGTGAGGGTAGTGTTTGTTCTTTTGTGTCTACATTTAAATCATAGGAGAGGCTTTGGACATTTTGCAGACTGGCCATTTTATAGAGGTAAAACGTGGTAGAAAAATGTGGTTTTTTCAATTCCATCATCCAGAGGCAACTCACTGTTAATGTTTGGTTAGATCTTTTGGTGTCTCTTCCTCTTTTGCTTCCTACAGTTGGTTGAAATGAAGTGGCACCTTTCATTTTATGTAATGACTGATACATCTAAATCCAGCCCTGCTTTCATCTTTGCGTGCCTGGTGCTCACAGATGTTTGAATTGATAGGTCTCTTGAATATTCTTGGAATGAAATCCGGTGTGAGGGAATGTTTATATGGGGAAATAGGACTTAACAACAACAACAACAAAAAATCTTTCACTGAAACTTGGCCACAAATATGGAAAAAACATCTTTTATAAAATGTAAATTAAATGTTAGCCACCTCATTAAAGCATTTGGACTGTAGTATTTGGTATACTTCTAGGACTGTATCTTACCCTCAACTTTACCACCCCCTCCAACATACACGCGCACACACACGCAATTTGACTTCATTCCTCCTAATTTAACTTTTTCTCTTTACCCAGCCTCATTTTATTTCCAGCTTTTGCTTCTGTTCATGCCATCATCAGCAAGGTAGGATCACCTTCAAGGGCCTGAGGTCTGTGCCAGTCTTCCTTTGTTAGCTGAAGTCCGCTCCATTCAACCCAGAATTCCTGTCACTTTTTGGTAGAGTGCTTCATCATTTCATTTAGTCTTCCTAACAGCCCCCTGAGGACAGTAATTTCATTATCCTCCTCTTTTTGGATTAAAAAAAAAAAAAAAAAAAAAAAAACCTGAACAGCATGAAGTTCAGAAAGTTGAAATCACTTGGTCTAAGTCACACTGTCAGTAAGTAGCAAAGCTGGGGCTGATATCCAGGTTTCTTGACAAACTTTTGGGTTTTGGGGGAATAATTTATGTTGACAAAAGCTACAACTCTGGGGAAATAAGTAACCAGAGATAAGAAGGAGGTGTCATGAGTGCTGTATATATTGGTGATGCCATGTGGGCTGAAACTAGCAGCAGGAAGACCAGCATACGTCTTATCACAAAAATATACCTCTTAGCTGTGAATAGGGGTTCACCTGAGATGGTTTGCTTCCCTCATAACAAGTGATGAGTCACAGCTGTTTGTTAGTAGATGTAAAGTTGGAGAATGACAGGGTGATAATAGTGCCTAGAGAAATAGTGTAAGTGATAGCATTTGCTCCTGGTAAAGAGATGCTCTTATAATGCAACTACCAATAGAAAAGTTACTATAAAGCTTTAGGAAAAGTAATAGATGGTGGAACACTAGGTGCTTTTAGGTACAGTCATGTTTGGACTTTTAATATTGCGCTTGATTTGGGGGAAGGCATATTTTGTTAAAACTCCAAGGAACCGAGCCCCAGCTTTCATTTCCCTTAAGAACTATTCCTTTTTCCTTTATCAGAAATATGGTTAATCTTTCTACTTTTTCTATATCCTCAAATATATAGCCAGCCTATCTTCTGTAAGTTGGGTCCTAATGCAATGGGGGTTGAGTTTCACATTGAAGATTTGGACCAGGGAAAACATCTGAGTGGTCTGTGGTGGCATTTGAATAGTTAATATTTAAGGATAAACTTTGGATCATAGCAACTCTTGCTCTGTATCCCTTATTTTCCATTACTTCAATATTATATCATTGATCATGTTTCTTACTCAATTTTTGGAAACAAAAAGCAGAAAGCAAACTTAAGTTTTCAGGCTGGTCTTTATCTTGTCATTTTATCTACCTGTTTTTGTTGTACTTGTATATTAGACATTACTACTTTTTGAACACATGGAAAAGGGAAGAAGCAATGTCCTAGGAGCATTACTTTGGAAGACAGGACAAGCCTCAGTTATGGTGGAGATGGGGGAGGTATGAGAAATTATCTGGTTTAATTATCAGGAGTAGGAGGCAGCAGTAGGGTTTTTATGCTGCATTTGTTGAAACTACCTAGAGATTCTGGAGATAGTGTAGAAGTAACATCAGTAAATGCAATGCGTTGCTTGTGTACCAGTCCCGTGTGTGTGTGTGTGTGTGTGTGTGTGTGTGTGTGTGTGTGTGTGTGAGAGAGAGAGAGAGAGAGAGAGAGAGAGAGAAACAGAGAGAGAGAGAGAGAAGATTCGTGCAATAGGCCTGCCTTCCCCTGGCTGCCAGCACCCATTTTGCTCTGGCCGCAGGGGAAAAGCCAAGCCTCGAGGCTGGGCTTCTCACTCTGGCCACAGTGAGGCTTGGCTTCTCTACTCTGGCCACAGCAGAGAAGCCAAGCCTCTTCAGTCGTCTTCATTCATCTTCAGACTTCGCTACACACCTGTATATGCAAATTAACCTGCCATCTTTGTTGGTGGGCGTCATTGGCTGGTAGGCGTCGTGGAGGTGTGGTCAATTTGCATAATTCTCTTTTATTAGTGTAGCTATATATGAGTGTGTGTGTGTGTGTGTGTGTGTGTGTGTGTATGTATGTGTGTATATATATATATGACCCTCTCATCCCTGCCTTGTCAAAGGATAATAATCTTGAAACATAATTTCAATTTTATGGGGGCATTTATGGAAAAACATTTCTTACTCTATAGCAAATTTAAATTATGAACATATGAGACTGTGTTCCAATAAAACCTTATGTATAAACACTGAAATTAGAAGGGTATTTGAAAATATAAGTCACTTGCAAAAGTGTGTTTCCTTTGAATCACCAATTTGTTTCTTTATTGCCAAGGCAATTGCATAGCACCTATTCTTGAGCAAACATACATTCACTTGAAGTGTGAGTCACTGTGGCAATTTATGAAGATGTCTAAAAGAAGTGAAGTATGTTAAAATGACAGATTATTTTTTGAAGTTGACTAACAAGGTGAATAATTTTTCCTTCTAGCGTTTTCTTTAACCCATCATTAAATAATTAAATTAAGCAAAAGTAAACTACTCAGACTGATTTAAATGTTCTCAGTATTGTATTCTGTGAAGAGTAAATACAATTATGAATGGGATTCCATTACTCAAGGTACTTGGTGTTCTGGCCAAGAATAAAATCAGGTGATATAATAATGTTGGGATTACTCTGTGACCAGATGCTTAAAGTTTCAAAACAGTGATGCAATTAGTAGATGAGAGAATGGTATCCTGCCCAGCCAGGTATTGACAAACTAAGGCCTTCTGGCCCACTACTGTTTTTGTACAGCCCACAAGCAATGAGTGGTTTTTACATTTCTTAACAGTTGAAATAAATCAAAGAATAACAATATTTCATGTGCATGAAAATTATATTAAATTCTAATTTCAGTGTTTATACATAAAGTTTTATTGGAACACAGTCTCATATATTCATCTGTGTATTGTCTATGGCTGCTTTCAGCTACAGTGACAGATTACAATACCATATAGCACAACAAGCCTAAAAAAATTACTTACTTTTCCTTTTACAGAAACTAACCTGTGGTGGCTTTCACACTCGTCTTCATCACATTTCAACAGCCATTTTCTTGGTGCAGGTCTTCATTGTATGTTACCAGAATTATTGCAAAGTCCTCAAAAGTATTCACATCTTTGGTTTTTCTTATTTCAATTTTTAAATGCTACCTGATTCTCTTAAAATACACATTAACATTATTTTTTTTTTAATTTTTAAAAATATTTTATTGATTTTCCACAGAGAGGAAGGGAGAGGGAT